GAACTGCTAATTGTTCAGTAGGAATAGATTCTATATGTATCTGGCATTTCTTTTTCTTTTTTGCTGAAGAATCATAGCCACTGCGTGCCTATATATATGTTAGTCTAAATACCCCGTGTGTACTCCATGTACTGTTGCCTATATATGCTAATTACAGCGTGAATCAAAATATATAGCTTGTTAACTTGCTGTAGCTGTCAGTGGATGTACATAGGGGGTGATTGGTTGCCCTGCTCGTGCCGTCCGGAGCCCCATCCGGCACCAAGTGGTGCACTGTGGCCATGTTTAGTTCCCTTCCTCGCACGTTTTGCCTGCTTCGTTCCATTCATCTGCCCCCTCCATCCCGCACGCCTCCGTCTTCTCAATTTCACCTTCCCTCGCGAGCCGGGATGGCTTCATACACGCATGGTGCAGGGGCCTATATGTCAGACACTCAAAACTTTGATGCATACGTGCAACCAAACACGATCTCGTTTCGTACTGAACCAACAACAAAGACAACCAAACACAGCAAAGTACATAGTCTTATCATGGCTAGAAAGAGCCTGGACAGCCACTCCATCCTGACTCTCTGACCCTTGAGCAACCAATCACCCCCATATATACGTACGTGAGATCACCTTGTTCCCCAATGATAAGGATCCAATTTTATGCATGTGGAGTTGACAATATAACTTAATACTGTTGTTGCCGATGCATTATTGGTGTGCAGACACGCTGACTTTTGCTTGTGTTGTGGCCCTGTCAGTATTTTTCAGCGAACAAATAATGTTTTTCTCTCACAACAAATCAGCATAATCCAAATTTCAGCGAAACAAACAGGGTCGTAATATGTAGGCCGTCATTGAACACAATAATGTTTGACAACTAGGGCCGATTGTTATATATGTGTTTTGAAAGGAGAAAATGGAGTGATCCTGGTGTAGTTTATTAATAGAAATTTTTGGTGTCGTCCATTCACACCATAAATGACAAAATTTACTATGTATGAAATTGTAGTCATTTGTTGTAGGATAGCGCACTGGTTATTTTATTAATTTCTCCGATCTATAGGGAGAGAAGATGAGGGAAATAACTTTTGCCCCTTCTCTCCCTGTTCGGTGCTCATCTTCTCTCTTCTCCCATCTTCATGCATGCAGCGGATCCTCGATGCCTCGCTCACCTGTGTCCTATCTCCTCCCCTTATAGATCCTTACTCCTCCCTCTAGCTTTCCCCCTTCTCCTTGCTCACGGTGCCCCATCTCTTCCTCCCAATACAACGCCTTTTTCTTCCTTCCAACACTAGCCCCATCTCTTCCTCCAAGACAACGCCTTTTTCTTCCTTCCAACACCAGCCCCATCCTCTCCCTGCTCTCTTCTCATGGCAGTGCTCCTGCTCAACCCTCCCGCGTAGCAAACTGGCCCCATCTATTCTTCCTATAGCCACAACACGCACCCCTCCCAAGTAGTTAGCGCCTACTCTTATCTCCCTATCTTGCAGTAGCCGGTGCCCCTACTTACTCTCCTTCGAACCCCTTGCTTTCTCACCTGGCACCCTTGCTCTTCCCGATATCAACATGAGTAGGACGCATGTCGTGCTACCCCCTGACCAGGAGGCCACGCGCCACCGCCAGGCTAGCCAGCCCCCTATCTGCAACTCCGACTGAGGAGCAACATCCATGCATCATATGCCCCTTGGCCTGACATCTGTGCCAGTCCACAAATGAGAGAGCTAGGGGAATTGAATCTAAAGAGAGGACAAAGACAAGGGCGAAAAGGTCATTCCCCTCACCTTGTATCTCCGGATCTTAAATGACCGCAATTTATAATGGTACCTAGAAAAGTTCGGCTTTTATGGTGCAAACTGGCCAATGCCATGTTTCGCTACCACAGAGTAGGAAAAAGCCAACAGGAAAAATATAAACCTACAGGGAAAAGCTTTAGTCTGGTAGTGTTTCTTTGATGTTTCACTGCAAAATTTGCCTTTATTAATTGGTTAGGTTCTCTACGTTGGACTTGGCATAGGTGATCATACTTTCTAGACTTATTTCAGGGAAATAGAAGTCAGTAGACAATAATGTGCCCGTTGAGTGAGACGTACCGCCTCTATAAAATATCTCACAAAATCCACAGGTGCTAATTTTTTTTGACGCCTCTCATCTGGGTACAGCTGTATTGTCTGCTCATGTACAAACTCACACCCACACTACACACGCACACCACCCGTATACAAACAGACCTACAACTACACTCAGATCACTAGATTGTGTCCTTTGTGAGATCACCGGGTCCAACCATAGATCCGTAGGCGACGGGGCGCGTCACATTTTCTTTGTGGCTCCACGCATGAGAGGCAACATAATTTTATTTGGGGCGAACCCCGGTGAGAGACGCGAGTGCGAATGGTGGGATTCAAACTCGCGCCGGCTGCAAGCTAGGCTTGCCATCCGAGCGTTCTCAGGCGTTAAGTTTTTGAACATGGAGAATGGCGGTGGTTGCCGACCTGCACTATAAGGACTTGTTTGGATCAATTTTACATTACTAGAATCTGAACTATGAATGAGATTATAATAATCTAGATTATGAATTATGATAACCTAGGTTGTTTGTATCCTTGGGGTTTATTATAGGTTCTGGATTATAATAGAGTGGGCCTTTTGAGCACCTATAATCTCCTACTGCATTGGTAGGTTTAAAATGGATTATATGACTACAATAATATGTTAATTGGAATATTTTAATCCAGCAATCCAAAATCTAGTGTGTTTAGATTACCTAATAAAGATTACTTTATCTGATTAGTATAATCCAAAAGTTAGCCCTATCTTACCTGCTGCCTTACCTGTGATAAGAGATTAGGAGGTGATTTTGTACCGATCTAATGGTGTACCGTCCAAAACAAAATTTGTAAGAAACAACAATGTGAGAAAAAAAAAAGAATAAAGACTGACTGGAATATATAGAAGGAAAGAAAAATACCCGTAACCGGCCGGTTATACCGTATACGGCCTATCATATAAGTCGTTTCTCGTCTTCATAATTGCCTCTTGGCCTCGGCCGCTAGTTTAAATTTACACTTGAATTTGCAGTTTGCTTGCCTGAACAAAACTCCCTGATGCATTGAACCACACTTCGCAGTGGTTGACTAGAGATTAGCGTCATATATCAATATATCCCGTTCGGCTGGCAGAATTTTAGTTGAAACTAGCTGAAAAACACTGTTCCGGCTGAATTGTTGAGAAAAACACTGTTCCGACTGAAAAAGAAGTCGAACAAGCTGAATATGGGATAAGCCGAACATGGCCGCTTAAGAATACTTTAGAAAAACACTGTTCCGACTCGTAGTAAATGTTTTTCTACTTATATTTGTGTGCAACTTGAGAATACTTTAGAGAAGCACCACCAAATGCGTGTCAAGGTCGTTCAAGTTGCATGGACCAGCCGACCAGTCATATCTGAAGACAAGAAAGCGTAAAGAGTAGCCGGCCACCTAGCGTGCCACGTCGTCTGCTTTTTGTGGTCGTTCGATTGGCCGCGCGGACGGCCCAGATCAGGCGAGCCGCGGTTATTTTTCAAAAAACCCTTCTTTTTTTCATAAATCAACCCGCGTTCCAGAGTCCCTCTCAGGATATTTTACAAAAAACACCTCAGATTATTTTGAAATCAACCCGAGGTCCAGAACGGATGGCCTCCGGTTTTTTTTTTCAAAAAACCCCTTATTTTTGTCGAAAATCAACCCGCGCTCCACAAACCCTCTCATCATTTTTTGCGAAAACCTCCTCAGATTTTTCTCAAATCAATATACAGACCAACTTTAATTATATCTTTTTTTTCTAAAAAAACGTGTGGCCAGTGGCCCACGCGCATGGGCGCCCGAAGGACTAGTAGTAGTAACCCAGGCTAATAGGTGGCTACTGGCTAGTACAAGTTATTCTTTAAGAGAAGAAAATGTTCTTTAGTTAAGGTCTCTTCAGAAGATCGATGTCGTAACTATACTGAGAAAATTTGCAATAACTTCCAGTGACGTAATGTAACGATGGTTTTAACATTGCTAATTAGTCACAAGTTTAGAAATTAACTAAGGCAAACATGGAACAACATGACAAGGGAATTGCGTTATAAACTGGCCCCAATCATTTTTTCGCGGCCAGGGAATATAGTCCGTTTTTCATTAAGAGAAGTGATTTACACGACACAGCTACGAGAGAACCTTCATAGCACATATTACAAATCACCAAGCCGATGATAAGTGACCTGGAATATAAACATAATAACAAGAAAAAAGAATGACTATCCTCAACACCCAAGATCTACAACTGAGCCTACAATAAAAAAAAATCAATGCAAAGGTTGGCTACAAGAAAGACTAAGCCGCGATGGCAAAGTATCCACCTAGACAAGACATAGGATCATCCAGCAGCAACCGGCTCCAATCATTTGAAATTAAAATCTCCAAGAGACGTCTTATAACGAGTCAGATAGTAATGCAGCTAATACAATCTTAAGTAGACGCATGTGGTCCATATAATAGTATCATTATAATATTGAGCACGTCTTACAGTAGTATTATACGTCACGGTGGTAAAAACTATAGCAACTATATACCGACTCCTTTAATAGGCTAATTGATACAAAAAGATAAGTAAAAGTAATATAGATGTCGATGGAGTGTTTTCTACTGTAAGAGGAAAACTTGGCTGAAATTGGTTAACGAACACTGTTCTGGCTAAATTGTTGCGAGAGAAAAATACTGTTCCGACTTAAAAAATAAGCTGAATAATATGGATTATAAGTAAACCGAACGGGGCTTACACATCAAAGTCCTATATAAATAAAACATCCAGCTATCCCTGGCCACAAGGCTCAGCCTGTCAGCCACGCCTCCTAGAGACCTAGAGAGAGCGTGCCTGCTGCGCCGCCGTAACGCCATTTCCAAGCCACTCGAGAGAGAGACAGAGAGCTCGATCTGCCGATCGACTTCACCGCCGCGAAGCACGAGCAGCTAGCAAAGAGAGAGCGAGATGGGCAGGGCGCTGTGCTGCGACAAGGCGACGGTGAAGAAGGGGCCGTGGGCGCCGGAGGAGGACGTCGTGCTCAAGGCCTACATCGACGAGCACGGCGCCGGCGGCAACTGGATACAGCTCCCCCACAAGATCGGTAGGAGCAGTAGTTAGCTGTGTCATCTGCATAGCATTATTAGCTGCTGCCTGCAGCGAACTCGATCGATCGCTCGTGCATGACATGAACGCTGAACGGGGTCGTTGCGTTTTGCTCATTTATTGGTAGGGTTGAACAGGTGCGGCAAGAGCTGCCGGCTGCGGTGGCTCAACTACCTCCGGCCCAACATCAGGCACGGCGGCTTCACGGAGGAGGAGGACAGGCTCATCTGCAGCCTCTACATCAGCATCGGGAGCAGGTGAGCATACGCGTCGTACAGTTCATCAGTAGCTAATAGCCTAATATTCAGCGCGTTCAATTCAAGCACCTTTTCAACCACTGCAACTCAAAGAGTTAGTAGATCAATAATCAGCAGCCCAGCTTGCCGATGCCGAGGGATTATTGATAATAACCATTGATCATATGTGATATGTCTTGGTTGTTCGGCTGCAGGTGGGCAACGATCGCCGCGCAGCTGCCGGGGAGGACGGACAACGACGTCAAGAACCACTGGAACACCAAGCTCAAGCGCCGCCTGCTCGGTGGCGGCCGGCGGCCGAGGGCAGAGGCGCGCCTCCAGCTCCTCACGAGCCCGACCTGGCAGCACCACAACTCCTTCGCCTCGTCGGCGCTCGAGAGGATGCAGGTGAGCATGCGCCTGCACCGGCGCCACCAGGCTCGCCTCGACAACCCGCCGGCGGCGGCCTTCACCTTGTACAACTACGGCAGCCTCGGTGCGCCGCTGGGGCCGAGCCTGTCTCCCTCGCCTTCTCCTTCGCCGGCCGCGAGTGAGACCTCAGAGATTCTGCCGCGGCAGCCACCAGCCGGTGCTACTTCCACTGGTTACTCCGCCGGGCTCTGGACTCACATGCCAGGCAGTTTCGGCTACACAGGCGCTGGAGTGCAACAGAACATGGACGGCACCTGCACACCACCGCTCTCGACTAGCACCGGAGAGACCATGACGGCAGTAGGCGTGGAGAGCTCGAGCTCGACGCCGACAGCAAGCTCTGCCTCCGCGACGTTTGGGAGTAGTATGGACGATGAGATCGACATGTTGCTCCGGCAGATTCAGTGTTTCGGGGAGAACAACGGCCACCACATCGGCGACGAGGTGGCGGTAGACGGCATAGACCACTGCTTCAGAGCAATAATGGATCGTCATGAGACGGCGAACGGCAGCGTTGGTTCTTGGAGCTCCTGCTGCTCCACTCCTGGAGTGGATTCAGTGTTCCATGACTACGCGCAAGGGTACAACCAGTGCTAGAAACTTTGCAGACATGCACTACTAGCTAGCACGTGTAAGATATATATATCTAGATTGATGAAGTTTTAGTTGTGGACGTGTGATATCATACTGAGTAGATAGTTTCAGTCTCAACTCTGAACATATATATGATATATCTGGTGCATCGTTCGGTCTCTGTTTTCTTTTCTGAAGATTTGGAATCTCTTGATATGTGTTTGTTTGTCAATGCTGGAGCGGTACATATGAGTGCTGGCTAGGGACGTACACTGATCTCCTACATAAATTCAGGATTGGAACATCAACTTAGTATTATGCAGTTCTGCACTGCCTGGTGACACGTGTGTATGAAATGCTATCTTTTCTTTGGTTAGGCGTTTGTATATCGGATGTATCTTAGTAACCATCAACAAAGCTTTGACTCAGTGACAGTATTTGATCAATTGCTCAAGAGTGACTACTAAACTGACAGTCTACGGGTAATGAATTTTATGTTCAGATAATGTTCACTTGGAAACCACAACAGTACAGTGGTACTTAGCAATTGCTAGGTTTTAGGAATCTGGTGAGTATCAGGAGATAAGAAAAAAAAACAGACAAATTTGCTGTCCATTTCAGAGCCACACTTCTATAAGATGCACAAGCACCTCTTTCAACAAAGATTTTACTATGTTAAATTTTCTAGTTAACTAGCCATGACAACCAGCAGTACATGTTAACACACTTGTATTAAACATGAAACTAGAGGCAGACGATACATCTAAATCAATTTCACTGAACTGTATGTGATATGACAATAGAGTTCTTGGTGCTCGCGGTGCGAGATAAAAGAATGCTAGTTACTCCATTGCCCCCTCAGAATGCATGTATGCAAATGATGGTGGACCAGGATCCTGATTTGAAACTTCCCTGCCCGGAGTTCCTTCTCCTTCTGGTGTGCTTCCCGTATCAGTGTCTGAATCAATATTCTCGATGATGTGATTAGACATGCTCCATGGACTCTCAGCTGTAGGAGGATCTATATCTTCCATTCCAGGCTCCTCTTCATCCGGAGTATTAGAGCTATTATCATGCTCATGAAAAATCTTGAAGAGAATAGCAAGCAATTCATGCCATGATATCTGACCGCTGCCATTGATCCAATGACTCCGATGATCATAAAGGGTTATAGTGACATGCAAAATCAGTGCCAGTAATGAAGTTGTCCCAGTGATGATGAACAACCCAAGAAAGCTATGCAATGTAAGGCTGCTTGAAGTTTGGGAGTCATCTTTGTCTGGGCACGATGTATCACCATACAACCGTTTCTCCAGTTCATCCATTGTGCCATTTGATGCTAGTTCCAGTATTCCCCTTGAAATTTCAGGTGTAAGTGGAGAGCCTCGAGGGAACGCCTGCAGGAATAGAACAGAGATGAGAATCGTAAAACATGCCAATAATTAATATACAAATGCTATAAAACGCCATGTAAGTTATTAATCATTTATAAAGGCCCAATGTAACAGTGGGCCAGTTATATCAACCACTTGCACAAACCCTGTATAATGGTGAGGACAATTAAGTTGATCATAATTTTCACATTAAGTGGTTAGCAATCTAATTGAAAAAATTGATCATAATTTTCACATTAAGTGGTTAGCAATCTAATTGAAAACATACTGAACTAGCACCACACAATTACGAGAAAACTGCATGAGAATCTGGTAAAGTAAATTTGTTTGTGCTATTTAATACTTCTAGAAACATGTAATGTAAGCCTTTTATGCCCCTCCCACCCCCCAACTGGAAGCCAATAACATGGCACCACATTTCCAGAAAGTATATGCTTGTTGAGTTTCATTTCCACAAGAAGACAAATCTGATCATTCATCTCATCCTTTGCCATTTTTATATCTGGAAGATTTAGGAATCCCAGACAACAATAAACTTCAATCTTTGTCAAAAATTGCTCTCTTTTTTTCTCGAATACCAAAAATTGCTCTCATGGCATCAGATTTTAGAAACTATGATCTAGTACAATAGCAGAGTTCTGCAACAAAGTAGATGCAATTTGATTCATCACTAAGCTGTACTGAAAACATACAACTGCGGAGAAGTAAAAAAAAAAGTCACTTACATAACCAAATCCATCGAATTTGTAAGTTGGCCCAACCATAGTGTAATTGTGGCAATACTTTGAGAGAAACACTTTGAGGTACGGTATTTCATCAACAATGACAGCAACTTTTCTAGTTGATAGGGCGTCATTGTACTCCTCAGGAGAGCTGAAGGCGATCATTTTTGTTTCATTAATTTTCAACCTTTTCAAAAGCTCAGGCATGAAAGAATCATTGAGGTAGCCAACATAATCCCCTCGTCTGATAACTTCATCTATATTGGTGACTGTTGGTTGAAGCTGTTCTACCGTGAGAATTGAGCTTAAGCTTGCAGTATAACTCTGCTGCAATATTAGCACCACAAAAAGCCAAACAACTACTGCAATTCTTGATAAATTCTTCACAATCCTCTCCCTATGAGCAAATACAAGTGTTGAGAAGGAGAAGTAGAAGACTGATCCAATTTGACTGGCTGGCGGTCCTCTGAATTCCTGATTCGATCTGTGCTCGATAAACCAAACTATAAAACCTGTGAAGACAACGAAGGCCCCAGTTCCTAACCATAGATCAGCTGTCAATGGTTCTAGGAATGTCCATGCAGTCTTCTGTCTCCGGTCCGAAACTGGAACCAGCATGCGTACCCCTGACTCAGTATAAGGAAGAGTGTAGTCCACATATAGAGAACGGTTGGCCAAAATTGTTATGTCACCTACTACCGCATCAAATTCCTGCCAGCAATTAACATAAAACTGGTTGATATACATTGGAAAAACATAAACCATTTTGCACAGAATAAACTGCAAATCATTTGGGGACAATAAAATGTTGCCACTGATGTCACTCCTATTAAAAAGGAAAGCTAACTACATATTACAAGTGCTACTTGCTATCTAAATTAAAAGCTTAATCGTATTAGCGACGGTTCATTGATGTCAATCGACACCAACGGTTACATGCTGGATCCGCCCCTTTTGCAATGGTTTCCATCCGTAAGCTACCTTAGACATTAACATGGTGGACAATCTGTAGACAAATCACATGCTGCCAATTCTGTGCACTCAAGAAGAGCAACAAGGACAACAAATTGCCAAGTTCAGATCACTTTTGATCATGTAATAAATGCACATACCTGGCCAGTATTTAACTACAAGTTCAACACCTCCAGTTTGACTGTAACAAGGAATAAAATAAAAGAAAAATAGGTCCATACATACCTTAAGATAAACTTTGTAGACGAGTTCATCATAAGTTCCATTACTTTCTCCTTTTCCATTTCCAAACTCCACATAACGCTTGGGAACTTTGTAGGGCAGATTACCAATGACTTCCTCAAATACATCAATGCAGAACCCCTTGGGGATACCATCTTCAGATCTTATAAAACTGCTAAACCCAGGTTTCACAGGTACTCCTATTTTGAGTACTTTATTCACTGGCAAAAGCCATCCTCTAGGTGTCTTCTCACTGCCTCCTGGCCATACAATTCTGGATATGTTCAATCCTGGAGTCCAAAAACCAACTGCTCTCCTCTCCCGACCAGCTACATTGATAATTTTGTAAGTTGCTGATACTAACTGCATATCCTGAATGACAAATTGCCCACTAATGCCTGTGAAATTAACCTTCAAGAATGCATTGTAAAATTTTTCAGCAGCCCTAGAAGTACTCAGTTTGTCGAAATCAGTGGAGCCATTGTTTGTTTCAGACAGAACAAAGTCTGAATTAACATATCCGGCCTTCTCTGCTGCTAATGCTATTGCCCATACTGTATCATATGCATATAGACCAGACGTTATAGGCTCATTAATTGATGTACCAGGATTTTCCGACCTATATTTCTCACGCCATCTTTGTCTAAATTTGTTTAGTTTCGCAGTTTCTTGAACATAAGGCTCGATCCCAACAACACCTTCCATCACATCAAGTGCAGGATAACCAACCACATTGAAGATATCAGTCAAACCATATGCTGTAATCCAGACAAAGCCCTGGCCCATCATTCCCTCATCCTTAGCAAGCTGGAAAAACTTAAGGGCTAACTGATATGACATGCGCACAACAAAGACGCTTGTCCAATTTTCTTTTAAGCTTGATATAGCACGCTTTATCTCATCTTCTCCAGCAGAAGGACGGATCTTGCACCTGTACAGAACACGAGTATCGGCATGTCCCAGGGCATCAACGAGATCAGGGATGAATCTAGCGTTGGAATCATCGTCCTCGATGATAGGAATGACTTCCCTCCAATTGTATTTCTGGACAAGTGAGGCAATAGCTTCAGCTTGGCAGGAGTCGTTCCATGCTGTCCTGATGAAGTATGGGGTCTGGCTGGATGACCGGGACGGGCTATTTGCAGAAAAGGAAATGATTGGAACTGATGCCTTGTTCCCAAGTTCTGCAAGAAGTTTAGCTTGAGTAGATGTCTGTGGCCCGACGATTGCTTGCACACGGACATTTTTTAGTAGATCAACACCTGCAGTATTTCACAAAGACCCAAACATATGTCAGCGAATAATGATTCATGAAACTGAAAAGGTTGGTGCCATTCATTCATCCTACCTGAACATGCAAAATTAGTTTGAAACCTGCAGCAGATCCACATCTATGGGCTTATCCTAACTGAAAGCTAGGATGAGCAACGTTATGGAATGTATGTATTGGGCATTGTAACTCTCAGTCTCAGGCGTCCATCATACTCCATAGAACCATGGGAAACCCGCAATTTGCGTACTACTACAAACACCAAATGCAGTCGGAGTGAGGTAGCGGGGTACCTTCTCCTTATGCCGAGAGAAAGGAAATGACGAGGGCGCCAGGAGCGGGTCGGTTGGGCCCCGGCGGCGCGGGAGACAGAGAACCCTCCGCCACCAGAAGCGTCGCCGGCCGCCGTCAAGAGTGAGAACGGAGAAGCCGCGGGGCGAGATGTTGGCAGGTTGTTGCTATGGGCTCGAATTCCCTGGGCTGAGCAGTCGCGTTGGGGCGTTGGGCTGAGCTGGTGTCCAGTTTAGTTAACGGCGGGCCCTCGCCTGACACACCACATTGGCCATTGGGCCTTCCTGGCTTGGGTCGAGCCGACCACCACACCGCGTACTTAAATTTAGTAGAAAAACATGCTAAATTGGTCAAAAATTTAGTACTAAATTAAATTTCAGACTACGGAATTCAAACATGAGCTTAAAGGCTATGAATATGAATTTTCACTGAGTGATGAAATGAATACTATGAATTTGTATGGTTATGACAACTCGTATAATGATGCACCGAGTATAGTCTATTAATTCTAAAATCTAGTTTACGAGGTGAAATGCTTTGGAAACAAAGACACATCATCTTCTCCACATCATAAAACATCCTAGGTGACATTGTATAATACTACCTCGGTCAAAAAAAAAATGCAACTCTAGAACGATATTGTATTAAAGTATACCAAGTTAGACTAAATTTATATAAAAATTACTAATATTTATCTTACTATAAAAAGATATCATTAGTTTCGTCATGAAACATATTTTTATAATATAATTATTTGTTTTCATCAATATTGATACTTTTACCTATATATTTAGTTAAACTTTAGACAACCGATAATACATCTAAAACTATATGTTTTTGGACGAAGGTAGTACAACTTTATTATGAAAGGGAAAATTGGTTTTATAACACCGAAAGAACAAGATATTCGAAAAATACTATTGAAAGTTCATCCTACCTTAATATACCATTGAAAGTGAGTATCTGTTCCGAAATCTAGCACTCTATTACCGCTGTTAACGTCGTTCGTTGGCCTCCATCCGAGGCATCCACTAAACTCAAAAACGAGCAGGAGCCATGGGAGGACGTGGAGAACAACATGTACGACGGCAGCGGACGTAGAGAACAACCTGTACGACAGCAGCAGTAGAGCAAGGACATGCCCATAGGCATGCTGCTGATGAAGGGCGCGACAACCGCAGGCCGCGACATGGGCTGCTCGGGCTGGGGCTTCATGCGGCAGCTGGTGAATCGTGGAGGCAATGGAGATGGATTCCTATGACAGATTCCACTAAAACAAATATGATGATACGTGACTGTTTACTCGTGAGAAATCGTCATGAAATGCTGTAATTTGTGACGGTTTTACTCTGAGGTGCTAAAGCCTAGCCCCTGCCCCTAAAAAACACCCAGCCTCATCCTCCCACCTGGCCACCCCAGCAGCATCGCACGGACTCACCACTCACAGGCTCGCACCCAGCGCCGCTCCTCTCTGGATCTCCACTGCCACCGCGAGCTCACCAGGGGCGCCGTCTCTAGTGTGGCCGCCGTCACCGCCGTCGTCCGGGCGCCATCTCCGCTGCGCACAAATCTGTTCCGCCTACTCCTCTCCCTCCCTGCCACGGCCGCCATCCCTGCCATGACCGCCGTCGTCCCTGCCGCGGCCGCCGTCCCCGCCCAGTCTCATCCGTCGCCAACGCCATCCTTCACCCCTCACCAAGTCGCGGCGTCGAGCGGCCATTAGAGGTCCCCGCTCTTGCAAGGGAGGCCAGATCCGCAGCCGCTCGTGGAAGGGAGGCCAGATCCACGGCCGCTCGTGCAGCGGTTCCGGCAGCTGTGCTTCGATTCCGGCCATGGGCGCGATGGATCAGGTGGCGGCGCGTCTGTTCTTGCCAGCAGCACGGCAGATCAAGCTACGGCGACCCCCGTCCCCTTCCTACGACATGTGACCCACGCTTCCTCTCAACGGCTCAGGTGAGCACTCATATCGCTTCCATCAGAAGCTTATAATCACCGGATTTGATAATGAATTAGAAACTGGATGTCAGATTTTGGTATCAAATTATGATTTTGAGTAATGGATTAGCACCTACTTAGATTAAGGTACCAAATAGTTGTGATTCTGGTCAAATATTACAAGATACGGAGTACTCGAAAAAACAATCTGAAAAAAATGAGCATGATGCCGTGATGGCATCAAAGTCAGCATGCGGCAAATAGTTGAACCATGGCACCAATGTCTCGGATATTAAATAAATGTAATCTTTTCGTTCTTGATCGTGGAAAAATAACATGCATGAACTGCTCCACAATGCCAACAACAGCCATGCATAGTTTGTGCACATTCTTGCCTTGGTCCTTTCATTGTAGCTGCTGTTTGCACATGCATTTTAATTGTGCAAGCAAGCAAATATATCCGACTTGTAATCCTCATCATGTTTTCTAATCGGCAATGCACATGCTTTAGAAATTCATAAGGTGAAATATATATTCTACAGCTCGGCTTCAGTCTCAAGCAAGTCTTTACTGCCTTACTGGTGCATCTCACTGCCTTACTGGGACTACAGTACAAAACAGATGCTACGTTTGTTTATATTTACCTGCATCTCACTGCTCTACATAGATTGAAGGTCATTATTCAGGTTCTTGGACTTTGGAATATTTGATGTTATTCATGGTCTGAAGCTTATAGTGAACTGTTCTGTCTCTCTCAGGTTTATGCTAGTGAAATTAGAAGAGATACGGAAGGAGGTTCAGTGCCCTATCTGCTTAGGTGAGAATATCCTTTCTCAGCTTGCTTAGGGATTTGGATACTACATTCTCATTCTTCAGTTTTCTCGTATGACTGAAGCATTCATATTAAGAGCTGTGTTTCTATATTGGATACTAGCTGTTTGCTAGTACAAACTCATCTTCTAGTTAATTGTAGCACAATAATATGGCTGCCTTGTATCATATATATACATGTCATTTTTTATGGTTCACCCTAAATGTTGGAAGTTCGAAAATTTCATTGCTTGATTTGCATCATTTTCTGTCAGATGATGATATACCATGGCGTCTAATCCTTCTATTTTGCAGGCATTTTCTAGAAGACAAGGACAGTTATGGAATGTTTGCACCGGTTCTGTAGAGACTACATTGACAAATCTGTGCAGAGAGTGATTGGAGATGAATGGTTATGCAATAGCTACTGCATATATTGTCATCAAATGGCTTGTTGTAAAGACATGCAATATGTTTTGTTGAACATTGAACTATCTATGTAAAGACATCTGACTTGCTAATACATGAATGAATCAATGGTTGTTTATCTGATTGGTGTGTTATGTGATGCAGGTTATTGCATTGACGTTTCATTTCATTGCTATAGCCTAGAGCTATTACTATTAACCAGTTATTCCATGACGTTTCATTTCATCACTATAGCCTAGAGCTATTGTTGCTCACCGGTTATTCCATGACGAACACAAATGTCAATATGTGACGGTTTGGTCCTGCAAACGTATGACGCGAGATACATGATGTTTTTTATATCGTCATGGTAAGTTAACCGGGACGCGTTTTCGAGTGTCCATAACGAAAGTAGATCGTCGTGTACCACCCGAATTCTTGTAGTGTTCATATGAACTGGAAAATTAAGCACATGAATCGATGGAAAAGTAAACACGAATTTGAACCAATATTATACTATCGAGCACGAATGGATATATGTGCAGAGGATCACTCACGTGCGCTTGAAGCTGGTCATGAACCTCAGACAGGCGGCGCCATCGCGGGCGAATCGGGGAGCGTGGCGGCCGTCGCATTACTTTGCGGCGAGGCAGCAGCAGCAGCTGTCTATTGGGCCCGTAGCCCTGATGAGAGTGCGCCACTGGGGGCCTACGCGAGGCGTGCAAGGACGACGACGCCTGGGGTGCGCGCTGCCGAGAAGCTGGCGTGCGTGTCGCCCATGGCCGGTCTCCTCTCCTGTGTGGCAGATGAGCGCTCCGCCCTCCTCCGCATCTAGGAGCACGAGCCGCTCCTAGTGCAGTAGCTCTTTCCCGTGGCCGTCTCCTCCGGCTGATGCCCCGACACGATGAGCCCGGACTGGGCGCAGGGTGTGGCTAGACGGAGGAGCAACGCGTCGTATCCAAGTGCTCGGCGGCGGCGGTGAATCAACAGGAAGGATCGAGAGAGAGAGAGAGAGAGGAGGATGACGAGTGGGGCCCTTCTGTTGGCGTGAGGTGGAGTGGGCTCTGGTGGACGCTGTTAACAGCAAGGAATCAGAAATAGATTCAGGAATGGAACACCACTTTCAGTGTTATTTTACTTAATGGCGAGCTTTGGATGCTATTTTCCAGATGTCGTAATCTTTTCGGTCTGTTTGCTGGTTGGTTTCTGGGCTAATAAGCACGGCTGGTGCTGGTTTGTTATGAGAGAAAAACATTGTTGACTGGCTGATAAGCTCTGATGAAACCAATAAATGAACATACTGTTTGAGTGCTATGAAACTAATTTTCCTATTATGAAACGGCAACATGTAACAACTCGTATAATGAAATGGCTAACATGTAACAACTTTATAAAACCAACTCTCAATCTACATTTTTGGCAAGATTGAAAAAAATTGCTCTCCAATAAATCCCTGTCTCAACTTCCAATGTTTTCACACTTGGGAAATCGACCTAATCACGTGGCTATTTATAGGTGTACATATGCGTCGCCCAATCTGAAGGTGAAAGGACATCGGAAAGAATAAAAACTAGAACAAAGTTGATGCAGAGAGAAAAAAGAAAATATAAAAGTGGTTATAATAATTTAGAAATAACCTGAGATTTCTGATGTAAAATTATCTTCTATATTTTAGTACAGATATTTTAAAAACTGTTAGAGGAACCCAACAAATATGCTCCTAACTTTCTATTAGCCATTTGGAAAGCACATTGAGATACTAATCATTTTTTTGAACTATTGGATATTGCCATATTGGAGATGCTATACGCGCTGCCCTCGCACCCTGCCCCGCGCGCGGCCTAACCACCAGGCACCATCCGGCAATTTACACTGTGCAGTCACAGATGGGGTGCGGATGCGGTGCCAAACTGCGGGCAGTGTTGTCTCCGGTCTCCCACGACAGCGCTGTCAAAGACGCTTGCAACCTTACAGCTAGCTGATCATAATGTGAGCTCTTTCCAACAAGTTTCGGCGCAAGATCAAGCTCGACGATTAATAAGGGGTATATAAAGAGCTAGCAGAGTACTCCGATCCGGGGATTCGCTCGCATTGTGATTTATTTGCGAACCAACATATGCAAGCTAGTCTTGTGCTTGTGCAGATGCCGAAATTAATAATAAGCACACAGCAGGTAGGCTTGAAATGAAATGAAATGAAATGAGAAGTAGTAGGCGGACCGCGCGGACGACGTACCTACGGACGCGGCGTCGACGGCGCTCGGCCCGGCCGGGGTGTCCCTGGGGTGCAGCCTGACCCTGGTGCTGTAGTTGGCGTTGCTCGCGTCGGCGTAGAAGTCCTCGAGCGCCAGCTCCATGCACACCCAGCTGATGTTCCCCAGCCATGTCGTCCGGTCCAAGATCACCCCCACGTCCACCCGCCTCGCTCCGACACCGGCAGCAGGGCCGGCCGCCTGCCCCTCGCCTTGCTGCGCACCGACGAGGCAGAGGAGGAGGACGGCGAGAAGAAGACGAAGCGAGAGTGCCAATACGGAACCGGACGAGCGGGCACCCGCTACTACCAGCTGACCTGCAGCCGCTCCCGCTTTCATCACCTAAAGTTGAAACCGATTCTTGTGCTCGATTGGCTAACGGTCGCTGCATCTAGCACCAAGGTGACTAGTAGTTGCCCTCGGTGGCACGGCTAGGCCTTTCTACATGCAGCAACACGCCACACCTTTGCCGATATCAGTTTCCGTTTCTCCCAAGTACACGCGCTTACGGCGGTGCGCATCGCGCCAACCAAGGTCGCGGTCACCGCGTGGCGCCCTGGTAAATTGCCGCGAAATTCTACACAGCCATACAGCGCTGCCCCCGTGTCGTGGCCTCGTGGGAGCCGAGGCTATGGAATCTCGGAGCGCCCGGTTCGCTTGAGCTACTTTTTAATATAAAATAATATTTTACTTTTTAATATAAAATAATATTTTTCTCTTACAATATTTTAATATAAGCATCAGCATAAATTAAATTTCAACGTAAGGCCAAGGCTGCCGCTGCAGAGCGATCGGTCCTTCGGCGACGTAATGCGACCCCGGGTACTTTCGTGTCGGCACGGCGTGACCTGCCGCGGCCGGGGCAAGAAAACTTCAAGCCGGCCGTGGCTGTGGCGCCGTGGGAGCCGCGTGGAGCTCGAGCGCCCAGAGGAGGCGTGGAATCAGAGGCTAGCTGTCGTTCGGTCAAAGTCTTCGAGACAGCAGTTTCTGGCAGCTGAAATTGAAAACCCAGTGGTCCAGTTCTTGTTGCGATGGAAGTATGGAACACCGGGAGATCTCCGCCCCGCCCGGCGTTGCTTCACGTCCCGGCCACTGAAACGGTCCAAGCTGGAATTTTCTGCAGCGGCTGTCCTGTCCAGAACTCCAGAACTCCAGATCGATCTCGCGCGAATTTAAAACGGCAAGAAAGGTGGAGATAAGTTCGTTGCAGAGCCAGAACAAACTCGACAGCGACGTCGATCGATTATCCTGGGATTAAACAGCATGGAATCTTTTCTACCATGTGCTGGATATTAGTTCTCTCTAGAGGATAAAGAGTTTGTGGAAGCACGCAACGCGGCAACGACCTCCGCCATTGGAGTCGTCGGAGGTGGCAGCGACTTTACCTTTGACTTGTATATGCACTATGCAGGGCGTGGACGACGACTATATTTTGCAGTGTCCCATCTTTGAATCTCCCCGACCATGTTCGTTTGAGCTTTTTCGTAAGGGTAAAGTATAATTTACACCCTCAACTTTCATCAAAGTATGGATTTCAACCTCGAACTTTAAAACCGGATAACTTTGGCCCTCCAACTCTTGAAAAAATTCAACTTTCAACCTTCTGGGCGGTTTTGCGGATGAACAGTAACTTTTGATATTTTCGAGAACGCTGAAATTTTATATTATTTTTTCAAGCATCTTAACGTCCTCAAATGAAAAACTCAAAACTACAAAGTTGTAGATCTCATCAAAATTGTTTCACAATTGACAAATTTCAAAAAATATTATCTTCAATACGATATCGGATGAAGATAATTTTTATATGTAAATTGTAGACCTCGATGAGATCTACAACTTTATAGTTTTAATTTTTTTCATTTGAGGACAGTAAGATGCTCGAAAAAATAATATAAAATTTCAGCACCATATTTTATCGCGTGATGAGACTCAAATTTTAAAAAATAGAAAACCCTTCAATACGATGTCGGATGAAGATAATTTTTATATGTAAATTGTAGACCACGATGAGATCTACAACTTTGTAGTTTTGAGTTTTTTTATTTGAGGACGTTAAGATGCTCAAAAAAAATAATATAAAATTTTGGTGCTCCCGAAAATATCAAAAGTTACTGTTCATCCACAAAACCGGCCAGAAGGTTGAAAGTTGAACTTTTTCGAGAGTTGGAGGGCCAAAGTTGTCCGGTTTTGAAGTTTGAGGTTGAAATCCATACTTTGATGAAAGTTGGAGGGTGTAAACTATACTTTACCCTTTTCGTAACTACCTTTCAGCCATGAAATAGTGTTTTTCTCTCACAACATTTCAGCATAAACATCAGCATAAGCCAAATTTCAGCATAAGTGAATAGGGTAGAATTCGGTTCCCTTGTTGTATCACCTCGACTCCTCGAGGCTCATGATTTCTAGCTTTTGCTAGCAACAAATCTCAAAGGAGGAAGAACGCATAACGGCGTAAGTCAAGTTCATTGTAAAATTTCTTTGGTAAACACAATTTGGCTTTAGAGAATCCAATGACAATTTCTTATGTTGTGTTGAGATGATCGAAGAATTTGATTTGATAATGCGACATCATCTTAGGCATATTCAAAACAAAGAGATTCATTATAGTTTATCTTATCCATAAAATACAGAATGAGTTGATTTCTCTTATGGCCTCTGACATTTCAAAATATATCATCAAGATTGTTAAAGAGGCCAAGTTATCCTTGATTGTACTTCAGATGTTAGTCACCAAGAACAAATCAGTTTGTTGGTATGATGTGTAATATTTATAATGGTAAAATTAAAATTGAGAGTACTTAATTTCTTGGTTTCTTGAAGGTAGATGACACATCTAGTTTTGGGACTTTTAGTGTATTGTTTGATTCTATCTTAATATTGATGACATTAAGGAGCAAAGGTTATGAGCTTATGATAATAGTTTTAATATGTGCTTGCCATAATTTTTAATTTATTACTGTTTTGTGATATGGCTAAATCTTGTAGTAAGGTTGTTACTTTTTGTTGGAATTGTCGAACAGACATTTTGTGTCATTGGCTGATTCTATCAAAAGATAGAGTTCTTTGATTGACCATGTGGAAGGTTTAATTGTGAAATCTTTGTGGGAAACTTGGATCAAAAGTGTCACAGCCCTCTGTCCAACAATGATAAGCACATTTATTTGGTTAGGAAGGGTCATACCAAGTAGATTTGACTCTTGATTTTCTCTTCCAATATGTTGGTAATTACTAAATAATCAATATCATCTTGAAGTCATTTTGGATACAAATCTATTTCATTGAAGGCAAGGGCATTGCCGCCATCACTTGCTAAACCACCAAGAGATGGAAGGAAATCATTGCACGGGCCGGAATAACCTTGACACTACCATTATTCCTGTGCCCGCATGGACTCCCCTTGATATTCTCTGCGATGATGAGGCTGGGATGCTACAAGTGAGAGCTGGCGCTTGGTGGGAGGATGCTCGATGGTCATGCCTATGCCCATAGAGTTCAATTAGCACTACAACAAAAATCATGTTGAAGACAACTCATTTTACTACATAGATTGACCATAATGGTGACCACCGCATATGTAGTTGGCTAGGAACCCACAACTGTGGACCACCTCTAGAAAAAGGGTATTCTAGAGGTTTTATGGTCTCTAGAAATACTTCTATTTTTAAATTTTTAAAAGTGATAGGGAACCGTTTTTGAAAACCACTAAAAAGAATTTCTTGTTTTTGTTTCTTTTTAATTAAGTTGGTTTTGTAATGAAAATTTGTGAAGGAACAAATTAAAGCATACAAGGTATTACAAGAAAATAATGTGTTGTCCTCTACACCGATATATTCTAACGATACCTCAATACAATTATAACACATTTGAAACCACTAAGAATTTCTTAGTTTTGTATCTTTTTAATTAAGTTGAGTTTTGCAATGAAAAATTTGTGGAGGGACAAATTAAAGCATATGAGTATTACGAGAAAATAAAGCTTCACCCTCTACACCAATATATTTTAACAATATTTTGATAAGTTGACAACAAGTGCAGCGAACTCAACTAGGTTACTTGTGGTAGAACATGTCCACCTGAGTTTAAGTCCTTAACTTGAGGAGGATGTTCATATTTTTCTAAATTTATTTTAAAATTTAACGATTCTATCCTTCCATTTTAGTGGTAAGTGACATGTCTATCGATATCAAGACACATGTGGTTTTCGTCGATCTTGAGATCTGCTGGTGTTCATAGGTGTAGGGGAAAAACTAATTTTTTTTAGAATTTTAGGGCCGAGCCCCATATTTATAACCGAAGCCCAAAGACAGTATAACATCTTTTATAGCACTGCAGATGGGAAAACCATCTGAAACATTGGCAGCACAAGGCAAAAAAAACTCCAGTAAGAACACCTAGACACTCCTGAGAAAACTACTGAGCTACCAGACTTAAGAAGTTCACCAAAGCTTTAAACGTGATACAAAGGCATAACATCCTCAAACGTCAACTTTTGGCCTCCCAATTCTTTCAGAAGGCATCCGCGGGGACTCCTTGCGAACTGATGTCCTAGCGCCAGTCAAGGTTGGACTTCACTTCCAAGGCAGCCATAGCTCCTGCGAGGCCACTTCCTTGATCATCACCACCTTGCATTGTATAACTTGCCTCTGCTCCTCTGAGTACAGAATTTCCCAGTTCTGCACCAAACCAACCAGCTTGTAGAGGAGTATAGCCATACACCTCCACTGATTTCTCTGAAAACAAAGGTCATTTCTAAGTTTCCATAAACTCCAGAAACCAGCTAAAGTGAACAAATTAAGAATCCCATTGCGTTTATTACTTAACCAAAACTTCCCTATTGAATCTAAAGAATTACCAAGCTGCACATCAAAAATCTTTGAAAGCAACTTCCACAAGTACTGAGCTACTACACAATAAAAAAATAGGTGACTGATAGTCTCTTTCTCAGCATAGAAAAGGCAAGTGGGATCCTTCACCTTCCTTCTCTTGCTAAGGTTATCTCTAGTTAACAACTTATTTTTGCTAAGCAACCACAGAAAGTATTGAACCCTAGGAGGGATTTTGATCTTCCAAATGGATGGCACTAAAACAGGTTTGATCCCCCTAAAATTGACTATTTTATATAAAGACTGGACGGAATAAATCCCTTTTGAAGAAAATTGCCAAACCAGGAAATCTTCCTCATTACTAAAGTTTATAGTGGAAGCTAATTTACATACCTCATCCCAAAGATTCAGCATATTCTCATCCCCCATACGACTAAAAGTACATTTAAGGTTGTCTCCATCCCAAAGCCTACACTACTACAAATTGATTTATCATTGTCGCCACTTTCACTGCCA